TTTCTTTTTTTAATGTTCTTTTTAAAAATTTTTAAATATGTGGGGTACAATTCAAGGTTAGGCATGCAAATGTTCTTTATGCAGGTACCCTTGTTGATGGGGTGTGCCCCCACACTTCCCCAGCAGTTTCCCACTACTGCCAGTCCTGCCCCTGCCCTCCCCTGACAGTTTTCCACTACTGCCAATCCTGTTTTTATAGTATTACGATAGTTGTTCAAGGTTCGCTTACGAGTGAGAACATGTGATACTCTGTTCTTTGTTTCTGTGATAGATCATTCAGTATTATGGCCTCTAAGTCCATCAACTATATTCCTATATACTCACAATCATCAAATATAAAATGAAATTTTAAAAGCACCATTTACAGATGTGAGGAGTGATATACTACCATTGGGTACAATGTACACTATTCAGGTGATGAGTACACACTAAAAGCCCAGACTACACCACTCTGCAGTATTTTCATGTAACAAAACTGCATGTGTACCCCTAAATCTAGCAATACATCCATGTAACAAAACTGCACTTGTGCCCCTAAATCTATAAAAATAAAAATACCATTCATGGCAGCATCAAAATGTAACAAAACACATGTAAGATGTCTAGACTGGAAACCAAAAATATTTCTTAGCAAAATTTTACAACCTAAGAAAAAGAAACATACAATGTTTGTACTTGGAAAAAGTCTCAACATTATTATAATGTCCAATCTTCCCAAATTAATCTATAGATTCAATTCAATCCCAATCAAAATCTCAGCAGCTTTTTCCTGGAAGTGTATAAGCTGGCTCTAAAATGTATCTAAAAACACCAAGGACAGAGACTAAGAAAGCAAACTTAAAGTTAGTGGATTGGCACCCCCAAGTACCAAGATGTACTAGAAAGCTACAATGAGCCTCACTCTGATTGGATCTTTCTAGATTGAGTTCTTGTCCCTGAAATGGACACCATGGCCAGATAGCCTTGAACCCATCGGGCTCTGATTTAGAGCCAGGATTGGGTTCAGTCCCATCAGAGTGCATGGCATCCACATATTGGAGTAGAGGAAGCAATCATGGTGTCCACTGTGATAACCTTCGTACACAAAATATTTTTACTGGACCCAAATCTTAGTAAGAGTTTGACAGGCCCAAAGGGATAAAGAGTCTCCAGCTGGAGCAGCTCGCCTAACAACAGGAGTATAGAATGGCATGTGGGATCTGTAAGAAGTATGTGTGAGGGAGACTGGTTGTGGGACAGATAGCAGAAGAAGAAAGGTTGGAAATGGCCAGATGGTGAAAAGCCTCAAATTCTTTTTGAGAGTATTTAGACTTCGTCCTATAGAATTCCATAAGCAAGTGTGGTTTTGAAGGGGAGGTAGGATAACCTACCTGTATTCTACCTGAATACAGGGTAGAAAGTCAATTAGGAGGCTGTTTAGAGTTAGCAGGAGAGAAATGATGAGGTACTTATCAAAGGCAACTGAGGAGGCCAGCTGTCACTGGGTGCTGCAGAAGTGCTGAACTTGGCATACTTCATGAATGATTTCATGGAATACTCACAAAACCCACCCGAGAAGGTTTTAGCTCATAGATTTAATAGATGGGGGAAACAGGCCTGGAGAGGTTAGGCAGCGTGCTTAGAAGTCACACACTAGTGCCGGAGGGTTTTAGCCCAGGCCAGCTGATTCCAGACGCTGCACTGGTTTTTTTTTTGGAGGGGGTTGAGTCTGAGTCTCACTCTGTCACCCAGGTTGGAGTGCAGTGGCACGCTCACAGCCACTGCAACCTCAACCCGCTGGGCTCAGGTGATCCTTCGCCTCAGCCTTCCAAGTAGCTGGAACTACAGGCATGCGCCACCATGCCTGGCAATTTTTTTTTAACTGTAGAGACGAGGTCTCACCAAGTTGCCCAGGCTGGTCTCGAACTCCTGGACTCAGGCAGTCCTCTCGTCTCAGCCTCCCAAAGTGCTGGGATGACAGGCTTGAGCCACCATGCCCGGCCAGACCCTGCACTATTAACCGTGATACTACACGACTAGTATGTGATGGAGATGAAGGTTCCAGCCAGAGGTATTTAGGGGTTTGATCATTAGGCTTTGGTTATGGCTGGGTCGTTGCTTCCAGGAGACAGCACTACTGTGATTTTCTTTTTCTCTCAATGAACCTTTTTCTTTCCTTCACTGGCACCTCTTAACTATGAATTGGTTCCTGCTTTTTCTTTTGAAAACATTTACTTATTTTTTTGGAGGTTGTTTCCCCTAATGGCTTTGTCTTGCGACCTTTTTGTTGATTGGACCCAAATCTCTTATTTTCAGTCTCAATTTCTTAGTCACACTCTTAAGAGTCATTTTGACCTGTCCGTCCTATCATCACCTAAAACCCAGGCCTCAAATTAAACTCATATTTTATTCCAGTTTCTCTTGACGCTTTCTATTAATCGCAAACTAACGAGGCTTCCGGGCTTCAGAGGAGCATTTGACCCTAACGTTCCTTCGCCTTCCACACCCTGCCAGGCAGCCAGGCCAGTTCATTCTTTATGCTTTGTGTTCATCTCTTCCTTATACTTCACATCACCTTTGCTCTCACTCTGCGGTCAGCTCTCAGTATCTCATGCCCAAATTGCTGCGTTTGCTTCCTGGCTGGGCCCCTGTATTTAATCTCCCTTATCTACTACTCCCAGAGAAAACTTGCTCAAACACCTTTCATCATTTACTTGCCTTGTTCGGGAACTACCGGTGCTCCTCATTACATGATGGATCAAGACTACTGAATCAACTCTAACCCGCTCTCTGTCTAAATCTGAAGACCCTGCGCTGCCCAGTTTCATTTATTTTATCAAATCCCAACTCTGAATTTGAGCTCTCCATTCTGGTTAACTCTCTTCCCTTCCCCACGCTCCTCTGTATGTACACACACACACACACACACACACACACACACACACACACACACACACACACACCCCATGTTGTTTCCCATCTGAACAATCACCAATACTGTTCCCCTGTCCTCAAATCCCTTCTTCCTCATTTCCAAACACATATCCCAAGCAACTCTTTCCCTGATGGCATAAAAAAAGTGATATCTTCTTCTTCCAACTAATTTTGCTTATTGCCACTGTCAAAGAGGTATCTGTGATTGTGTTCTCCAAATGTCAGGGTTAAACCATGTAATACTTTATTGTGCTAATATAGAAAGCTGTTCAATTCACTAGCCCAGGCATATGTCTTAGTTTCCCAACAGGATAATAAGCTATAAAGTTCAGTTTAAAATCATGCCTTCTGTAGGATGTCCACTTGTATACCTAATGTCCACTTGTACCCTACATCTTTAAAATAAAATAATTTTAAAAATAAATAAAATAAGGTTATGCCTTCTACATTTCTGTATTCATAGTGTCAATAATAATACTCAATACATTCATGTTATTGGTTGAAACTGTAAACACATGTATATTTTTATGCTATATATCTATCCCTATAAGCTTAGTAGTTTACCTGAATAATAGTAAAATTAGTTACTGCTCTCTTATTTTAAGGGGCAGTTTCCTTTATAGAAATGAAAATGCACTTATTCCCAAATGTTTAAGACATTCTTCTTTGTATATTCAAACTATACTAAAGTTATGCCTTTTAGGGTAATATTGTTAATTATTCTGGGGGGGATGGCAGGGAAAAGCCCCGAAGGCTAACAGTTTGAAACTGAACAGGACACCCTTGGGAAGGGAGAGGGTCATGGGTCATCGTCAAACAGACAGAAAACAATGGAGACGATTGTGCCTGAAGATGGTGTATTTTTTTACAAGACAGTGTGTTGACAGTTTCCTTCCTCTTGGGTCATTGTTGTCTGCTAAATGATCTGTGACAGCAAATGGATCACAAGCTTTTTCATGCAGGAGATATAATGCAGCCTTTCATTTTGTTCCCTCCGTGCCAAACGCGAAACATTTCATTGGCAAATTCATGTTAGTTTAGTATATCATTTGGTAGTCTAAAGACAGCATGCCGCTCTGGAAGCAATAATAGTAATGATTAATTTATCTTCACCAAGTTTTGAATTCTTACTTAAGTGTGATTGCAAAAGTAATAACACATTTGAAAAATATTAGTCTTAAAATTTGCAATTGTTATTTAAATAAATGAATGTGTTAACACGTTTCGATATTGCCCCATTAATTTCAAAGTTGAGTCAAATATTTGCTTTAAGGTACCTACAATTTACCTATAAAAATTAATGTTGATGTACTTGCCCTAACTGAAAAGTTGCTGCTTCTTTCAAGGAGCTAGGAACTTAAATTGGAAAACAGGCATAAAACATAAAATGTGATGCTTAAATGTCTATTTAATTGGTGATTTCACATGTCCAAAAAATACCCCTTAATATGACTGAATGTTTGGTTTATAGAATATCAAGAATCTGAGATCGAAAGTTTGTGGGAGAAAATACCTGGAAATGCAGCTATTCAAGAAAATGCTTTATAGTTTCCACTTAATACTTTATAACAATCTTTGCTCTTCACTAGGACATAGTAATATTAGCTCAGGGAAGAGAAAATGTAGCAAAGAGTGGCAGAAAGCGACTGGTTTTTCCCTCTTTGAAAACAGTCAAATTCTGTGTAAAAATTAATCTCAATTTGGAGGCTTTTATTCTTCCAACATCATAAGAAATAAATAAAGGTGCTTTTATATAATTTGATATAGAAGTTCGAGAAAGTTGTTTACTGTAGAATATTTATACATATCATGCTTTGCTTAAAGTTCCTTTTTAATGTTAGGTCTGAAAGGCAGATGTCTTAACCTATATTTTTATAATGTACATGGGCTCACATTTACATATATTATTGAAAAATGATTTGGGCAGGTTTTCAATGTGTTGGAATCATTTGTTAGAAATGGATGTTAGAATTTGCAAGTCAGTGTAATGTTTTGTGACAGGATACTGTTATCTGAATGGTCCATCTTATGCTGTAATTTTAAAAAGCAAATTTGCAAACTGTCCATTGTCTGATTTTTATTTTCAGACCCATTAAACCAGTCTCATTTAATGATTACTACAAGACATGGTCTAGAATAGCTACATCAAAAGCCACAGAATACTACAGAAGTCCATGTAAGGTGATCCTTTTTTAATCCTGTGTCTTTTTAGTATATATTAATCTGTTAATTATTCTCAGCTTTCTTGCCTTTAAAGACTTACTGACACATATCTGCTATGGAAGGTGATGAACTTTTCTGTTGGGACTGTAGACTATTAATTCAACAGCTATTAATTTAGTTCTTCTTTTTAGAGCCCTGATTAAAAGCCAGAAGGAAACATAGGCAATTAGAAGAATAAAAGGCAAAGTACTCAGTCTTATGAGGGTCACTTTACTCCCTTCATCTCAGAGAGAAGTTTCTGCAGCAGAAGGAACCTTTTAAATTCTCTTCTAAGCCAGAGGAAGTATTAGGTAGAAACTCAGCAAGAAAACATAAGAATCTGGGCCGCTCAATGTTGTCAGTCTGAAAGGAAAAACCATCTGTTCTATCATCATCACATATTCAGAATCAAAAAGATGGGATATTTTGAGGATGATTTCATTATCTGGGTTGCAGTAGGTTGTCCAGTCTGCACGTATTTACTGAAAGATGACTGCCGCAGCCACTGTGCTAAAATGGCACATTCTGGAGTGAGTGGTGACTTCCGAATTCCCAGATTCGGTGCTTGTGTTTTCGACCTTTGCTTACTTGAACTCTCATCTGCTGTGCTCTGCTTGGCTCACATGATGCCATACATCTGTGGTTTTTCTTCTCCCTCCCCTGGGCACTCCTCTGCCTCTTCCCTTGGCCATGCCTTCATTCAGGCCTCTTCACCTGCTGTCTTCAAATGACCTCTTCCACTGCTGGTTTTCATTAGCCTCACCTCCAGCCAGACCTGTCTTCTGAATTCTACTTGCATATTTACAACTCTGTATCGGACATCTCACCCACACGGATTAATAGGCAACACATATGTAAGATGTCCCAAAGTGAATTCACTGTCTTGCCCCAAGCCCATTCTTCCGCCTTTAGTCCCTCTCTTGATCAGTGGCCTACCACCATTTGTGCATTTTCTTGCCTAAGTTGCACTCTTAGAAGCCCCCTGGAACTCTTTATTTCTCTCACTGAGCCTAAATGATGTTATGTCCTGCAACATTATGAAAGCTTCCACTCTGTTCCACTTCATGACCCCTGCCTTCCTTTGGAGTCTCATTATGTTTCATCTCATCCTTGTGATAATTTCCTAACCATCACAAAATGTAGTATGTAATTTTAAGGCACATATTAGGGCACAAGGTATACCTAATCTTAACAGATATTTTTAAAAAGTAAATTAGATACATCGCTTTTAAGAAATCACACGTTCTTTCAGGAGGCGGGTTATTAATTATTTTTATGATCATATATTACCATCCGCCTTACTCGTTGATTAGTGGTTAAAAGTAACTTAAAGTGTTTTAAGATACACAGTCTTTAGCAACTCTAGAAATATATAAAGAGTTTTGTTATTTTTGAATGTTTATTTCATTTCAAAGATCTGTGGTTGAGTGCTACTGAATCGATTCAGCATACACATCAACTAGGCATGCCTGCTATGTATGAGGCACTGAGCAGCTCACATTGGCTCCAGGGATGGTAACCCTTTGTCACACAACCACTGTGTTGAGAGACATTAATTGGCACACTCTAGGGAATCACGCAGAGTCAAACTCCTTCCACCCAAAACAGATCATTACAGAATGGCGCTTTTGTAAAATAGCATGTAAATATATAAGGGCACTTGGAACCTCCAAACTGCTAGAGAAAAAAAAAATACTAAAAGCACATGTCAAAACTTAAGGAGATTTGGGAATGAAGAATAAAGACTAATTAGAACATGGGAGGAAATAATGAGGCAACTGTGACCGCAGTTTCTTTCTCAAAAGAATGTGACCCAAAATGTTTAATTTTGTTTCTGCATCTGTCACTAACCTAGTGTGTAATTCATCCCTGTTTGTAAAGGCAGTCGCTGGTAATAGTTATCTCTACTCCAGAAGAATCTCTGAGATTTTGAATCTAGCACTTAGTGCAAGATTCCACCATCCCCCTGCCTCTTCCTCCTCTAGGGAATTGTTATAAGAATGTTTCAAGAGCTTTCCTTGAATAATAACCAGCACTTAATTTGAAAAAATTAAATGTAAACCTCACATGTGCTGCTGGCCATTTTATCTTTTGATAGTTCAGCTGGCTGAGATCCAACACTATCTTTTTTAATGGCCTAATTTCCTGGCAATAATAAAGATAAAGCTTTTAGATTATAGAATGCTTCTTCAACTACTCTGAAATAAAAGAGAAACTTCTAATAACTTCATTTTCTAAAGTTACATTCTTATCAGAAAGACTATTAAACTCCAGTGAATATTTTTAAGAATTTTATATTTTACGAAGTACAAAGTGGTGAATCATTATATTTTGATTTGGGGTATTAATTCTTTTCCATATCTTTGTGCCACAAATCTATATATATAGCCATTGGTGCTATAACTATGCTAAGTGTATTCCTGTATAATTCTGTTTACTAAATATGCTCATAACTATTGTTTCTTAACCATCCCAATCTATCATTTTTATTTATTCAACCAATGTTTATTGAGCATCTAATATATGTCATGCACAATGGTATATGAACCCTATGAGATAGGTAGGCATTTTTATTATCACTCTACTTTACAGATGAGAAAACTAACACCAGGAAAAGCTAAGTAATTTATCTAAGGTAACACATATGAGGGAGAATATCACATATTGATAAAGAGTCAGATTACCAGAGTTTAATTGTGGCTCTGACATTTATTAGCTTGTGGCCTTGGGTAAGTTTCTTTACCCCTCTTTGTCCCAGTTTCCTCATTCATAAAATGAGAATAATCACAGTACATACCTTGTGAGGCTGAACTTTGTAAAACAGTTGTCTAGCATGTAGTGGGTCTTCCACAAGTGTGTCTATTATTAATTAAGTAAGCTGTGGTCCAGAGACTTTAACCAGCTCTTCTGATTTCACATTTGTTGGTCTTCCTCTTGTAGGATACTGCCTCCATAACACAAAGTTAAATTGTTATCTCTGTATGTATGAGATTTCAGTTCAAACTCGGAAATACACACAGTACATTTATAAATAATTACAAGTTTGTGTTCATAATCGCAGGCACCCACGTGGTCAGTGTGCCAAAGATCTACTGTTCTCTGCCCATCACTCTAGAATGGCAAGTAAAAGGTTTGGCAGAGAACAAACCAGTACATATGGTTGTGGGCAACAGCGCCTTCACAGCAGAATACAATCCCCATAAGGAAATGTTTATGTTAGAGGAAAAGAATTCCTCTAGACCGGCATACTCTGAGCACTAAGAGTGGGCTTCCTGGTGTTTTTTTGCTGTCATCAAGACAACCCAAACAGCCTGAAGCATCATGGGGATGCTTGCTTTCGCCCTAGGAGACGTTCCTTCTTTGAATCTTTGAGCCAGTAAGGGCAAGCTTCTCCGAAACACATGTAGATGCAAGAAGCAGCATCCTCTGATTCTAACGCAATGGTTCTCAGTCTTCGCTGTTCATTAAAACCACCTGAGGAGCTTGTAAAAATTCTAATATAGAGGGCATTCCCCCAGACCAATTACATCAGGATCTCTGGGAGTAGGACCAAGCAGCAGTTGCTTTTAAAGCTCCCCAGGTGACCACAAAGTGCAGCCAAGGCTGGGAAGGGTCTAGTGGGAAGAGCATGATATCAGAAGTTAGAAACTCCTCAGCCCTCCACTAGCTTAGCTACACCCAGGTAAATGAATTTAAGCTGGTCACTTGGCTCTTTGAACCTCATTTTTTATTCCTATTTTTTTTTTTATGAGTCTGGGTCTTACTTTGCTAACCAGGCTGGAGCGCAGTGGCATGATCATGGCTCACTGCAGCTTCAACCTCCTGGGCTCAAGCAATCCTCCTGTTTCAGCCTCCTGAGTAGCTGGGACTACAGGAGCGCGCCACCATACCTGGCTGATTTTTGGATTTTTTTTTAGAGATGAGGTCTTGCTGTGTTGTCCAGGCCGTTCTCGAACTCCTGGCTTCAAGTGATTCTCACTCCTTGGTCTTTCAAAGTGCTGGGCTTACAAGTGTGAGCCACCACACCCAGTCTTATTTTTTATTTCTATTCATTGGCCAAAATATTCCATCCTGCCTCAAGTTCTTAACTTGAGGTAATATGTGTGAAAATTAAACATGCTGAGGAAAGTTGGTACTATTATATTTCTTTGGATGGGATCATCCCAGCAGTGGAAAAAGAACTTCAGGTCAGCCTCTACAGATGCTGGACAAGAGGTATGTCTTGGAAAAAGCAGAGTAGAAACAATACCCAGAAATCCTCAAAACAACAGAGAAGGAAGAAGAACTATCTTTGGAGGCAAGAGAGGATGCTTTTCTACCACAGATTATCAAACCACCATGAAGGCAAGATAGAGGTGAGAGGAAGGAATTTCAGTTTGCAGAACTTCCGATAAAATGTCACTGGTCCTTGCTTCTCTCTCTCTTTCTCACCTGTTCTTATTCTTTCATTATTCCCTCTAAGCAGCTTCATTCATTGAGCATCTTCTGTATCTAGACATTTGATCATGTGTGGGAGACAAGAAGATACCTAATGTGACAAGCTTTTCGAGGAACTTACAGGCAAATGGCAGGACACATAAGTGAAAAAACTAGAGGGATTAAAATAGGAGGTGTTAAAATGCATGTTTGTATGAAGTACTGTGGCATTTTCATCTCTTGGATGATCGAGAAAGCAGTGAAGAAAATGAATCAATGGATTGCCTGAGCCCGCAGGTTCAAGACCGGCCTAAGCAACGTGGAGAGACCTCGTCTCTACAATAAATCAAAAACTAGCCAGGCGTGGTAGCACACACCTGTAATTGTGGCTACTTGGAAGGCTGAGGCACAAGGATTGCTGGAGCCCAGCAGGTAGATGCTGAGGTGAATGGGAGTGTGCCACTGCACTCCAACCTGGGCGACGGAGTGCGACTCCAACTCAAAAAAAAGAAAAAGAAAATGAGTTAATGATTTACAACGAATGGGACCGTTCGGGAACGATGACCGTGTCATTTGAGGTTTCATAACATGTAAAGAAGAGCCTGCCACACATATTCAAACATAATGTAGGAGAGATGATTTCAAAAAAATTAAGGAATTATCCTTAAATAGAAACCTCAAAAGGAAGTAGCATTTGTGAGAGATGAAGTTTTAAATCTTGGCTAAGAGAAATGAAGAGCCCCAATGAGAAGACATTACTCAACCTTTCTGTGTCTGTCCATCTGTAAAGTGGGCATGAGAGTGGTAACCACTGCATGCTTATCTTACGTGTGCCCAGGGTATAGTGAAAAAATTCTATTAATGTTCATTGTTATAACCATCTAAAACCACACATGGCATCAGGGACTGGTTTTGTGGAAAACAGTTTTTCTGTGGGCCCGGGCAGGGGCAGGACAGTTCCGGGATGATTCACGCACATTACATTTATTGTGCACATTATTTCTGTTATTATCACATTGTAATATATAATGAAATAGTTATACAACTCACCATAAAAAAGAGGCACAGATGGAAGTGGTAAATGGGTCACATGCATGCTGGATTCTGTCTTAAAGCCTGCCACCAGATGCAGCTGTACAATTAAAGTCCATCAACTCACTTACCAGTCGCTGAGAGGGTTTTGAGATAAGTCTGCAAGCAAGCGATGTACTACGGTCTCTGTGCAGTCAAATCTCACTGCTATTGCTCATCTGTATTTGCAGCCACTCCCCAGCGCTAGCATCACCGCCTTAGCTCCACCTCAGATCATCAGACATTAGGTTCTCACTAGGAGCGTGCAACCTAGATCCCTCCTGTGAGCAGTTCACAATAGGGTTTGCGCTCCTGTGAGATCTTTTTTTGTTGTTTTTCAGTGGAGTCTCACTCCATCGCCCAGGCTGGAGTGCAGTGGCATGCTCACCGCCACCCCAACATTGACCTGCTGGGATCTGGCCATCCTTCCGTCTCAGCCTTCCAAGTAGCAGGCACATGCTACCATGCCTGGCTCATTGTAGAGATGAGGTCTCACCAAGTGGCCCAGGTTGGTCTTGAACCCATGGGCTCAGGCAGTCCCCTCACTTCGGCCTCCCAAAGTGTTGGGATTACAGGCTGAGCCACTGAGCCCGGCCTCCTGTGAAATCTAATGCCGCTGCTGATCTGACAGAAGGTGGAGCTCAGGTGGTCATGCAGGCAATGGGGAGTGGCTGTGAATACAGATGAAGCTTCCCTCACTCGCCTGCCACCCACCCCCTGCTGTGCAGCCCGGTTCCTAACAGCCATGGACCACTATCAATCTGTTGTCTGGGAGTTGGTGACCCCTGATCTGAAAGAAATAATGAGATCTCACTAAGCTCTCTAAGGAGCTACAATTTGCTTCTTTAATGGAAGGGAGGAACATATATCTAAATACCAATAAAAAGAGTATTAATGAAGCCTATAAGAACATGTATGCACGAGTTATATGTGCTTATGTGTGTTTGAAGCAAGAAAATTTTAAAAAATAGGAGCATTGCTAGCAAGAAATAATGTCAGATTAATCGAAGAAAAAGAGAATTATTCAGTTAAATTTTTTTTCTATCAATGGCAAATGTCAGCAAGCTAAAAGGGGTACATTAATCGTTGTTAAGAAGAAAGCTCCAGATAAGGACAAGACTGGTGGAGAACATCCAGTTCATTTAAACGGTTCACAACTTGAAACTCAGAATAATAATAACTAGCGAGATAAAATATATGTGGGCATATGATCTGACTTAATAGTATTTTATGTAAAAATTACCAGTGCCTTAAGTTTAGGAGGTTTTCAGTAAATCTCATGTGAATTTGATTGAAGGCAAAGGCATAGAATTAACCATAAACTTATGAGCCAGTGGTGATGTAATGTGATTTCCAGAAAATACTAATGCAGATCTGAGCTGAGTTGATAGTGCACAGATCAAGGGACGGAGTAAACCCATTCACGTCTTTGCTTCAGACGAAATCAAGATCCCGATCCAGCTCTGAACACACACTTCAATAGTAGCATCAACAGAGTTCACCTGGGGACAGTAAGGATGGTTAAGTGTCCAGCAAATCACACTCTAAGAAAAATTGGAAAGAACTGAGGCTTACCTGGGAGCAATCTTCAAATGTTAGCGGACCCTGTCCCGTGGGAGAGGGATGAACTGGCCCAGAGGTCAGAACTGGGACCGGTGTAAACTCACAGCACTCAGGTTAAGAAAGGACATTGTAACCTGTTTCTGCTAATGGGATGGACAGTCTCCCAACAACAAAGTGGTACGTTTTCTGTAGTTGGCAAGGGTTCATTCAGAGCCTGGAAGGTTATCTTTTGTGGAATCTTGCTTTGTGAAAGATCAAGCAAGATCTTTACTGTCACTTCCAGCTCAAAATTTCATTTTTCTACTTTAAGTACTGAATTCTGTTAAACTGTGATGTCTGTGTGTTTGTTGTTGTTGTTTTGAGTTGGAGTCTCACTCTGTCACCCAGACTGGAGTGCAGTGGCCGCTCCCGACCACTGCAGCCTCCACGTGCTGGGCTCCGGCGATCCTTCCACCTCAGCCTTCCAAGTAGCTGGAACTACAGGTGCGTGCTACCATGCCCGGCTCATTTTGATTTATTGTAGAGATGAGGTCTCGCCAAGTTGCCCAGGCGGGTCTCGAACCCGCGGGCTCAGGCAATACACTCACCTCAGCCTCCCAAATGTGCGGGATTACAGGCTGAGCCACCGAGCCTGGCTATATCTGTGTTTTTTATATGAGTTATTTTAAAACTTTCCTTATGAGTGTTGCTAAAAAACAGAATTTCAGTACAGTTAGTTTAGAGATCTGACTGGCTTGTATTCGCAATTCATGAATCAGATAGCATCTCATCTAAATTACAGGCAAGTGCTCTGCTGGGCATGGCAGAACAGTTCATTTTTATATGTCAGCCAGAGCAGGAACAAGAAAATGGAATAAAACACACAATGTATTGGTTAACATAAGGTACTTTGGATGACTTTCCTTGTAGGGGTTAAAGTTGACTGGGCCCCTTCTGATTGGTTGCCGTGATTCTTTCTCTTTAAAAACAAACAAGCAGACAAACAAACAAAAAAACTGGTCTGTTTGGGGATTTTCCTGTTTCCTTAAAGTTTCAGTTTGATTGCATAACACTTAGCCTGAGTGACTCCATTTTGGTTTCGGCCTGTGCAGGAGGCAAGTCCAAAACCATGGTCTCCTATAAATTTAACTTAACACTACCAATGTTATATAGGCAAATGTCATTATAATACAAAAAAATTTCCAAGTCACAATCTACTTATTTCAAACAACAACTCATATTACAAAGTTCCAATAAAAACAACACATTTGGAAGAGTTTCTGAGCGTTGTAATATGACTTGAATTACATAGTATATGTTATTGCCACATATCAACTTAAGAAATGAATAATTTTTAATTCTTAACTATGATTTAAAACTGTATGCATAGCTTCTTTTTTTAATACTCTAATTTCAGTGCTTGAAGACCCAAATTTCACTGGACAGTATTATAAATGGAAGAAAATGGATCTACAATATCCTAAAGAATGGAGTTTAAAGTAAGAAACTTGAAGTGCCTTGAATGCATCCATTAACTTGAAATGTCTATTATTCCACTTTCTGCTATCCCTCTGAAACATCAGAAGAAACGCCAGGAAATAACAACTTGTGCCCTCTTCTAAGCTTGAGAATGAGTATAAGAGAGTATTGTCTCTTTCATATGAACCCAGGTAGGAAGTATTTTTGCTACCTATTGGCTGCCAAAGATGGAGACAGAAAGAATATGCCATGGTGAAAAAAACTCTCATAATACGCTCCGCATTAATTCTTTTACTTCCATTTCCAACATCTTTATTAATATATGACTTAAAAAAATTTTTTTTAAAGCAGAAGACAGTTTACATATCACCAATTAGTTTTTCTTAGCTCCAAATGTTTTTTCTTCCGCATATATATATATATGCAGATATATATATATAATATATTTGGTTCTTGGTTTCTCACTCAGGAACCAAATGTATTTCATCTAATGAGAAAGTATATAGTAAAATACAAGCATAAATTATGATGAGATTTTTAGAAATCATTGACTCTTAGACCACATCTAGGAAGGAACCTTAATCTCATCTTTGTTCTCTTGACTCCTGGAGGCAGTTTTTCTGCTTCATCATGCTGGAGTAAAGATTCCATCTCCATTCTGTGGTATTGGCTGTGCCATGCTAGTCACTGATTCTGGTGTGCTTATTTCAAGGTACTCCAAGTGTGTGCTACCATAAATCTAAGGGAATTAAAGATTCTATTTGTTGCATTCACTTCATTTTTTAGCTCTTTGACTTACTGTTAGCAGTGGGTCCTCTTTTCTAGATGGAAATACAGGAATAATAAAAATAATGTGCTGTATTTTGAATTTGTATAGAAGCTGAGATTCTAAAATATAATCCCCTACTTTTTAAATCATAGTTCAGATTGGGTTTTTCAGGTTGATTTGTTTGTTTGTTTGTTTGTTTTTATTTTTTGAGTCAGGTCTCACTCATGCTGGAGTGCCGTGGCACATTCACAACTCATCACAGCCTGGAACTCCTGGGCTGAGACAATCTTACCATCTCAGCCTCTCGAGTAACTGGGACTACAGGCAAATGCCTGGCCAATTTTTTTTTTTTTTTGGTGGAGATGAGGTCTTGCTATGCTGCCCAGGCTGATCCAAACTCTTGGACTCAAGCAATCCTCCCACCTCAGCCTCCCAAAGTGCTGGAATTACAGGCATGAGCCACTGTACCTGGCCTTTAGTTAGTATTTTTTGTTGTTGTTGTTTTGTTTTTTTCAATTGATTCTGCAACAGCTTCTTTCCTTCAAACCAAAATGGAAAAAAGTGTTTACATTCAATATACTTTTTCTGCTTTCAGGATAAATATAGGCAGTAGAAAAATTTTGATTAAGCAGAATTTGAAGGAGTGCAAGCATGTTTTTTTTTCTTGCATGCACATTTGAAATTTCTTTTAGAATTGAAGAAGCCCACTTAGAATATAAGGTTAATTTTGCTTTGACATGACTTTTTTTGTTTCCTTTAACAAAACTGTTTTATTTGTTTGATCATTGATTCATTATGTAATGCCAACATCCCACAGAACCCCAAAATTTAGAAAAGGTAGGACCATGTCATTTTCAATGTATCCATCCACTTCTACATATGGCTCAAATAATTGTGAACTGTTTGAGTGCTGGAACATTTTTCCAAATAACATTATTTTGAAGTTATAGGTCAAATTATCGTGTGCATAGTGACCCTGTCAGAATAAAATTCATGTCTTATGCCATCTGGTGGCTGATGAGAATACATTTAGATTAGAAGACATTTGCTTTTTGTAAATTTTGGAGTCGACATTTGCTTCTTGTAAATTTTGGAGTCGCTTAGTCAAAAACCCCACCATTTAAATGAAGTTTTAAAAAGATATTACACTTAGCTACATTTTATCGTGGCATAAATACTTGAGTGTGCAAATGTATAGAGGTATAGTGAAATTCCAAAGAATGGTGAATTTCAACTTCTTTTCAGACAATTGTCAAAAGTCTTGTGTTTGTCAAAATGCATGAGGCATGATGAAGTGGGCAGTTCAGAGACAGGAAAGGTCTGGCCATGCAATAAGCCATCGGCCTGCATGTGCAAGCCATATATGACCGTGATGCATCACTCTGCTTTCAGTCTTGGAAAATGCTTTCCTTGCACTGAGAGTTCCTATTTCAAAAAACAGAAAATGCAGATGAGAGCCTTTCTTTGCCCAGAGTTAAGGGAAGAGAGAAACCTGTCTTCCCTGCTACTCTCCTCCCCTCCCCTCATCAATCAATACGGATTCTTAAGCTAAATGCTTTTCTCTCACAGTTATTTGGGGACCTAAGGTCCCTTCACCACTTTGTGCCTCCAGCTTGGGATATCTTTCTCAGCAGGGTCTGCTGGTGGTCTAGATCTAGGATTTGGTGGGAGTCAAAAGATGGAACATGGAGTCCTTACAAGTAGGGGCACTGGAACCAAACCTTCTGGTTTTGCATTCTGGCTCTGCCAATGACCAGCTCTGTGACCTTAAGCGAGTTTGCTAATTTCTTTGTGCCTCTGTTCCATCTGTTAAATGGTAGTAATACGTGCACTTAGCTCCCAAGGAAAGCAGGTGAGGGTTAAATACATTACTATATAGAGAAATCTTCAAACAGTATGTGGCATATGGTAAGCACTCACAAGGTTTGCTATTATCCATGCCCCCCTCCCCATGGTCCTCATTCAGTTTGCAGATGAAAATATCTTTCTTTAGAAGCAGCTGGGGAAAGCTTCAGAGTCAGACCAATCTTGGAGAAATGCTTAGAAATTCTTAGCCACTCTGCACTTGTTTCCTTATCTGTTGAGAGGAGGGACAACATTACATGCCTTGCAAAGTTGTTTAGCTTTTCGTTCCATTATCTCCTGAATGAAATCATATATATAAAGGAATACAGTGTGGCACATGAACATTCAGTACGAGGAGATGAAAGCTCATGGCCTCCAGCTTTTCGGAGCATAAAAATAGTCTGTCAGAAACGCTTAAAACTCGTCAACTTTTCTCAGATTAGAAAACAGCACCTACCAGTGCTACATTTATTTGAGTCCCATTGTGCCTCTGACTCTTTTTCCTTCTCCATGCCCCCTCCGTCATTTCTTCTGCCTGACAGTGCTTTGCAAGGATGGCATGAAGATCCGTCCTCGTGGAAACAGTCCCCGACATGCTCAGGTGTTCCCAGTGCTCCCAGCCTCTCTTTCCACAGTGCTCTGTCCCTTTCTCTTTCAGCATGTGTGGTGTGGACACTCATCTGGTGATGACGAGTAACCAGGGCCAGGACAGTAGAGCCGCTTTGCATTTTCTATACTTAGCACGGTGCCTGGCAAACAGTAGGTGCTCAATTAATGTTTGCTGAAAAATGCATGCTTTTGTAGGCACTCGATTAATGTTTGTTGAAAAATGCATACTTCCTGTTTCCCTATTTGAGATTAGGATCAAATGTGAAGGCAGATAATTTTAGGAAAAATAAAATTTAGGTGCAGACTTTTATTAAGGTTCACTCTTATGTAGAGATTAGGATTCTATTTTGGGAGTTCTAGTGTGTGGTCATAAACAGTGATTGAAAACTGGAAGGTTAAATGACTGTCATGAATGTTTTATGCAGATGCTCTAGTTTTACACTTGTTTTGGTTGCTATTAATAGAGACCAATTGTCATTATAGGCAACTTATACATATTCGTTAACCAATCATTTAGTTGGTGTTCATTTCTAAGGCTTTTTTTTTTTCTTTCCTCTTGCCTTGACTGTCTTTTGGCTATTTATGCAAATGCTTTACTTATACCAAAGGATATGAATCTATAATGAGTAGCTTGTACTTATTTTCTCCAGAGAAATAATGAAAGATATAAAATCAGAAAGCAATGAAAGCTGTTCTTTTGCGTGTTCTTGCTTATGACATATATAACTATGTTTGTGTCACACTCTATGGCTAATGATTGCTTATGTGATAACAAAAAGATCTCTATTAGTATACTAAGCTTTGGCAGCGAACCAGTTATCTGAATAAAAGTTACCAACTTTGGTGGAGTTTAACATTCCATGGAGCTTCGGAAAAGAACATTCTCTTTACTACACGAAGGAGGTATACCTCTACTCCAAGTCAGACCACTTGGCTAGCCCTGCTGACAAAGCCTCAAGACAAGGTTTCTAGCCTCTTTTTCAGCTGGGATTGACACCCCTAAGATCCCTCTCTACAGAGATTCTCTACAATTGGAGATTGATATTATCTCCAGTTTACCAGTGAGAGAAACCGACGCACAAAGAGATTTACCAGTGTGCCTGAGGTCATGGATAAATAATTTTATTTGAGCATTAAAGCCACAGTATTTCCTACTTGTCTATTAATATGTACTTCATTAGTAAAAGCTTAAATTGTTCAGGTAAGTATAAAAAATACTGCCTACCCAATGGCAAGCACAAATAAAGTCTAGTGTTTGTGAAAAAAAATTTTTGTCAGCATCAAATTCTATTACTAAACATTGTTAGTTTCTTTTTCCTTCTATATTAAAAGAAGAACATCTGTGCAATATCAAATACCAACTTCTATTTATAAATTGTACTCGGACTTAGTTGTCCTGTCTTTTAAATTAGGGAGTTAATACATCTTATTTCTAAGTTTCTTTGGTGCCTGATTTTATGAGCATGTGTTTTAATTCACAAAAACATACGTAATCTTTCTTTTAGTAAACCTATGTTTGATTCCCTTTTCTTCACTTTTATGGAAAAAAGTTCATTCTGAGTACATTATTTTAATTGATGTTTGTGCTATTCTTTCAGGGTTATTGAATTTAAACATTATTTTTATAGGTTTACATAATTATATATTTAATGCATTTTTCTGAAGGAATGCTTTATTTTATTTCCCAAAGATTAATCTTGAATGCCATCTTGTGGTCAGAGAGAGAATTAGCATTAGAATGGACATTGCCCATATTTTAAAATACAGACGTGGGGAAAAAATATAAACAAAGGGGGA